TTGCCTTGAGAAAAATTACCCAGCTATGCAAATCTGGCGAGTTACTCTCTTCGAGCAGAGGACACTTGGAAATACATTTTCTTTGCTGGTTAAAATGTAATACAAGGAGGTTGTGGCTAAATATTATTTTGGGCTATAAATGGATGTTTTCCTTTCCTATATTTTCTCTACTCTCCCCCCTCATGTAGTCAGTTTTGTGGTATACCTTAGGAAAGAGAAGAGGCAAGGCAGCATATAAATAATTTGCCAGTATTTTTACCTTTTGTGTTCTAAAAGCATAAGCCTGTAAGTAAGAGAAATTTGGTACATGGGCAGAGATCAAGTATCTTATCCAGAAAACTAGAGGAAAGAAAATTCTTTTGGTCAGTGTGGTAGGACATGACTGTAATCCTAGCTACACAGGGGGAAGGCTGAGGCAGGAGGATTGCAACTTAGCCATCTTGCAACTTTCCCTCTCTTAAAATTTAAAAAAAGCCTGGGATGTATCTCAGTAGTGCAGTGCTCACCTAGCATTAGTAAGGCCCTGGGCTCAACCCTTAGCACCACAAGAAACAAATACATTTCTTCTTTTTCACTGTTTTCTCCTCGGTGGATGTAGGGGGAGAGCAGAGAGTACTCTGCGGGAGTTCAGAGTGTAAACTGGGCTCAGTTTCCCAGAGCAATATTTGGTTGATGGGAAAACTCAAAAGTGGAAAGACTATGAGGAATGTCATGGTACACAAACCAATATGTTGCCTTGACAAATAATTCTGTGCCTTAAGAATGTCAGAAACTTTGGATTAGATCCTAGAACATCTGAAAGGCAGATTTGGGCAGAAGGCTCAGTAATAATTGCTAGAATCTAAAAAATTAGAAGCAGATGCCTTTATTGCACTCCCAGTCTCCATATCCATGCCTAGGTACCTCCTAAAATCCTCAAGCTTTGTTATCACTTGGGCTAAAGGAAGTGAATATTAAGAATGATTGATACAGGCTGGGGAGATAGCTCAGTGGTCTAAGTGCCTGCCTGGGAAGCACAAGGACCTGGGTTTGATCCCCAGTACTGCATGTGGGGCTGGGCCTGGGACTCTGGGTGTGCCATGCTGGCCCAGAGGCATGGTGGCATAAGCCTGTAATCCCAGCACTGGGGAGGCGATACTGATCTCCCAATAAGTTGATATATCAGGGGGCACAGAGTCAGAAATTGAGTTTTAGAAAAAGTCACATCTTTATTCACTGCTGTAGTAGTCAGCTTACTGTGAACACTGTGGTTCATCACAGCTCCATTTTCTTGACAGAATAACCTCCATCCTGTGTGGCAGAAAGGAGACAAACAGCTGGGAGGGCCTTGAAACTAACTTCAGGCTTCTATCTTTGTGGGATGGTGGATCTAACATGATTCTAGCAAAAGTTTCTGTGATGTCTTGGCACCCGAGTCTCAAAAAAGATGTACTAGATTATTGAATGGATGTTTTCCTGGGACAATAGAAAGCCAAATAAAAAGTGGTTAATATAAGTCAATTTTTTCTGTTTGATGAATAGGAACATAACAAATGTCAGTTGAAGCTGGGCATGGTGGCACTTGTCTGTAATTCTAGCACACAGGAGGCTGAGGCAAGAGGACTGCCATAAATATGAGATGAGCCTGTACTATATAGTGAATTTAAAGCCAGACTGGAATGTGTTACAAAACCTGTCTCAAAAAAAGAAAAGAAAAATACCACTTGAGAGACATTGGAAACCAATGGATAGGAAACAAATGTTCCCTAACATACATTGATGATTAGGTGTAATTGTTTATTCCATTTTTGTCCACATTGGCATCTGTCTAGAGTTCTGGATTAGGTTGTCTCAGACAGAGGAGCGCATATATCAGTATGAGGTCTAAATTAAGAGGAATCTGTTTTGGGATGGGAACATACTTGTTTGGTTTTCAAATTTCTGAAGCTCATAAAAGTAACACTACATAATAGTTATTGAACCAATGTTTGCCTGTTAAAGATGTGTTTGGAAGAGTTCACATCTGAACAGGTTGAAAGGTTAACATTTTCAAGTCTTGTTTAGTGTTGATTACACTGTGATGCTCAGAGACAAAGGTAAAGAGACAGGGCCACAATTGAGCTGGGTTCTCTGTCTTGTAAAGGTGGATGTGCATAGCAGTGGTAGGAGTATGTGGTCTCTCAGATATAGAAACTATGGCCACAAATTTTAGTTGCCATCTCATGTGAGTCAAGATCTACAAAGATTTGGAATAACTTGTTAAGGTTTGAAACTGATCCTTTGTGGTAGTTTGGCTATTCTTCCAAGTGTTTTCCCCACACTAGTCAAGAATTCAACAGAGGAGGGGAGGGGGCGAATAATTCAACAGGAAAAGACTGTCTTCAGGGGTGTGAGGAAAGAAGTATTTGAGAAATCTCACCTATTCTTCAGCTAATTAGTAATACAGACTTTCAAAGTACAGTACTGGTATTATCTGGAGAAATCACACCTTTATTCTTCCAAATTTGCAAGGAAGATCTCCACAGGTATAGTGGCTGAATCTCACCCTGTACCTTGTCAAAACTGTAAGATGGGGGTTTGAATTTATTTCAGGCCATGGTCTGGTTGCCTGACATGTTCTAGCAACATTGGGATTAACAAGTCATCTTGAAGAGGCAAAGGGCAGAAATAGAGTCAGACCTCCCATCTTTTTGTTTGTTTTTTTGTGGTGCTGGGAATTGAAAGCTCTCTTATTTTTACATACCATTTGGACCTTAGAAGCAACAGTTAAAGTTGAGAGGGCTGTTGTTTTTTTTTTTTAATATTTATTTATTTTTATTTATTACATTTATTTATTGTGTGTGTGTGTGGCCAGCTCAGCCCACCAGGGGGCGGGTCTGGCTGGCATGTGGTGCTGGGGATCGAACCGCGGTCCCTGTGCTTTGCCAAGCTTGTTTCAAGTAGGTGCATTAGACCACTGAGCCATCTCTCCAGCCCCTGTTGTTTTGTTTTTTTGAGTTAGGGTCATAGTATGTAGTTCAGGCTAGTTTTGAACTCACTGGGTAACATATACTGGCCTTGAATTTGTGTTGATCCTCCAGTTTTAGCCTGTCAGATGCCGGGATTATGGGCGTGCACAACTATGCCTGACAGTGCCTCTTTTTTTTTTTTTTTCTTTGTGGAACCGGGGACTGAATTGAGGCCCTTGCGCTTGCCAGGGAAGCGTTTATTCCACTGAGCCATCTCCCCGGCCCTGACAGTGCCTCTTTAAAGCTCTGGAAAATCGTTGGAATCTACAGGAGGAAAAGAAAAAAAAAGGGGTTTTGTAGAGGAAGAGGTTGATTTAACCCAGTGATAGGCCCCTGAGGCTGGGTCATTGAAAAGCATAGCCTGGTATTTTCCACCCAGCCTGCTACCCTCAAGGCATCCTGCTAAACCCTGAGGGGCTTTGGAGAAGAATAGGAGTTTTCATTCAGGTGGTAGGACACCGGATGTATCCTGGGTGACTGAGAAATGCTTGAGCTCTGGACAAAGAACACCTGGGCTTAGGTTTTAATTCCTCTGTACATAGTTCTGTGAACTTGAGTAAGTCATGTCCATTTTCTTTCCTAAATCAGTTTCCTCCTCTGTCAAACCATGATAGATGAAGTAAGAATTACAGAAACAATTCTGCATTGCACCTCAATGAAGCACAAAAAAGGATTTTTAAATTAAGCCACTGAGCTGAGGTTAACACGTAGCGGAAAGCTCAATGAAGACAGCATTCAGTACCAGCAAGAGGACCTGGGAGTTTTTCAGGTAAATGGACAGCAAGAGACTAAGAGGGCCAGCTACATGGGAAGAAGGCCTTTTCGCATGCGCGCAGTCCTGGAACCCAACGGAGCAATGAGGGGGCGGGGCCAGGTTCTGAAGTGGTTGCTATGGCACCGAGGGGCCAAGGGAGGTTAACCAAACCCTTAAAACATTGCTCCCTCCCCCACCCGCCGTCGCCAGAGCCGAGGGCCATTGTTCCTTGCAAAATGGCGTCAGTAATCCTCCTCCAGTCTCAGGCCTAAGTAACGCTGAGAATTGAAGTGAGACTGAAGGTGCAAATAAAAACTACAATTCCCAGGATACAATGCACTCGTCTGTGAGGCGCAGGGCACGTGCCCTGGCCTAGCGGTTACAGGCCGTCAAAATTCCGTTTCATAGCTTTCCTTTCGCATACCCGCTTTGGTTGTTGCCCAGCCCCCGCGCGCGCGCACTGCAGTCCTGGGAGGTGGGGGGCCGTGCCGTGGCCGTTGCCCTCGCAACGTAACCGAGAGACCGGTATTTGTAAATCTGTGCTTCGATTTTTAATCCCAAAGCCGGCAGGTAGGAGTCTCGCGAGAAAAATCGGGAGTAGAAAAAAGGGAGCTGGTGTGGCGGGTGAAAAGGTGCTGGCGGGTACCACATCTCTACAGAGCTACCACATTGAATGGCTTACCGAGAATTAAGAGTGGGCGCTTCTCGTTAAGGAAGTAGTGTGTGCTTGGACTTTTTTTTTGTTTGTTTGTTTGTTTGTATGTCTCTTTTTTGAGGGACAGAGCAAAGCAACCGTGCAGAGAACGAGAGATTCAGAACACACAGAAGATGTTACGTGTGGTTCTTAACTGAAATTTTCTTTTTGGAGAGAAGCCTTTCTCCTCGACGCGCATCCCTCTCTCCCGCTGCGCTGTAGAAGGCGGGGGAATAGTGCGCACGCTCTAGTTGGCTAGCTACTCGGCACCTCTTTGAGATAGGGGTTGCTCTGAGTTAGGGCTGCTCCGTTGGCGTTCCCTGCCCCTCCCCCTCTTGTTTTCTCCCCTCCCTTCCCCGCCCCCTGCGCCCCTCTCCTACCCATCTGAATTCCCTGGCTGGAGTACGCGTGCGCTGGGTCAGCTCCCTCCGAGCGAGCGCGAGCTTGGGTTCTTACCCTGCTCCTCTAACCCCGCCCGCTCTTTACCTACCGGCCGTAGCTGGCCGGGTGGGCTCGCGGGGAGACGCTCGCGTGCACGCGCACGCGCACACGACACGGAGCAGAGCCGCGACGTCGAGGAGGGGAGTAAGAAGCATCGGAAGAGGCGATAGAGGAGGAGGCGGTGTGTTTGTGTGTGTGTATGTCTCTGTTCTACAGTGTGACTCGTGGTGGTGGTGGGGGGAGGAGGTTTGAGAGAAGGCGAGGAACAAGCGAAAAGTGAGTCTCTCTTCTTGAAAGCCTCTAATCTGGTGAGGGTCCCGGGCGGGTTGGGACGCTGGGAGAGAGGGAGGAGGCCCGGGGGGCGTGTCTGAGATCGGGCTGAGAGATGAATGGGCCTGGGATGAATGGAGGGAGAAGGCTGCGGCCAAGAGTCTGTTTTGAGTAAGTGTCCTAGTGGAGGCCAGCTTGACCGAGGCCAGGTGAGTGCCATCACCAGTAGATAACAGAGGAATCTGGACTAGGATCTTTGGGGTTGTCGGAGCTGCTATCAAAGTGACGGATTAGGTGGAGAGAAAAATTATGAGGCAGAAAGTGGAAAAGGTACATTTGAGGTTAAGATGCATTTTTCCTTTTCGTTTTTTGTTGGGGTGGGAGACAACTTTGGGAGTGGATAGAAGACTGGGGACGAGGAAGGCGAGAAGGATACAGGAGGAAGACCAGGAGACAGCTGACAAAGGACTGAGTAATCATTTAAGTGAGATTGAGGCTACTGAAAGAGAAGATCGCTTTGGATGTGGGAAGTTGAGCAAGGTTTCAGTGTTTATATTGATGGAAATTGGGTAGGGGAAAGAGTGGGTTTAATTTTTAGGTTTAGATGATGTGTGATGTGTGTGTCGACTGGATCAGACTGAATATTGCAGTCTGGTTTTGTAAATGTGTTAGGTTCAAGAGGGAATTGAGAGGTGTTATCTGGGAAGGGGTGGTGTGTGTTGTGTGACTGACATGTTGGGAATGGCAAGGAGACTGCACGATAGGGCTCGAGTGAAAGTGAGATGGCTTCGTTGTATGGAAAAGGTTTTGTTTGACTAGAGAATGGTGAAACATTTATGTAGTGGGATGTGGGTGGAAGTCCTGCACGTGTGTATCTCTATCTCAGCAGTTGAAAGATGTTAAAATGAGGCTGAACCTTATAACAGATGCAAGTCGTACAGCCTATTCCTTTTTAATAGTTACTGCTGAGGCAATTATATGATTAGCCTTTGGTGAAAATCTGATTAGTAATGATTGCACCTTATTTTTGGAGGCTTTCTTACTATTTTTTATTGTAGTAAGTTTGAATACCAAGAAAACCTTTGACGAAGTCTTAGTATATGACACAGAGCCACAGGTGTCTTCTCGAAATCTCTACCCTTTAGATTAATGAATTTAAAAATTGTTTAAACTCGACAATTCAAAGGAAAGATACCTTGCATAAAAGTACAGCTAAAATGTACTAAAGCTGATTTTGACTGCTTAAATAATTACACATGATCTTTTGACCCTTTTGAATTTATCTCATTTGAAAATTGACATTTTCTTTTTAGTGTGAATTTATATTACTACAGCTTACTTGGACATTTTGTTCTCTGAATACATCATTTCTGGTAAGGATGTCTTGTAATAGTTTTGTTCTGTTCTGGGTCAAGATTTATTGTTACGGATTTCTAACTTTTCATGATTATTGTTTTACAAATTTTACTGACCTGTATTGAGTTCTCTTAGAAATGTTGCAGGTTTGAAAACATTTACTGTATTGTGTTTCGATATTGAAAAGAATGTAATCTTTTTATGGCTACTCATAATTTGAATACAAAAGTTTATACTGTGTTTCTAGTTTGTCAGATTGAGGTGAATATCTAGTGTGTGTATTATACATACATACATACATACATACAGAGAGAGAGAGAGAGAGAGAGAGAGAGAGAGAGACATGAGACAGACAGAAAAAGAGAGAAAGAAAAGTTACCTATAGGCAGGTAACATGTTCTAATTTTGAACTAGATGAGTCTAGAAAATGTAAGCATGGTATATTTGGAGAGCGGAGTGAGATAAGTCTGGAATCTTAAGGCTGAGGTGAAGGTCTAGATTTAGCTCTGCCTTAAAAAATTCTCTCTCTGCCTCTGTCTCTCTCTCCTCTGTCTCTCTCTCTCCTCTCTTTCTGCTCTTTCTCCTCTCTCTCCTCTCTCCTCTCTCTCTCCAATGTCTCCCTGTGTAGTCCAGACTGGCCTTGAATTCACTGTGTAGCTGAGGCTGGCCTTGAACTCAGCAGTCTTCCTGCCTCCTGAGTGCTGAGATAGTGGGGGTACATCACTACACCTGGCTCAAAAATTCTTGAAAACCTTTCCTACTCCCCCTTTGTTTGACTGGCATCATCCTCTCAACTAAATAAGATGTACCTCTTTAGAATTTCCACACTTAGTATGTAATCTTGTTTACTGGACTTCTGTTGAGAGGCAGGAAAGGTATTTTCTTCCTTATTGTTGAAAGAGAAAGAGAAGCTCAGAAAAACAAGACATGCATTTCTGGTAGAACTTGGAGTCCTGGCTTCTAGACCAATATTAATCTTCATATCAAAAGTCTACATTTATTTATATCAGTCTGCAGTGTTTTATTTTTTCCCTAATTTTATTGAGAAATAAATAGCAATGGGACAGTTTCAAATCAAACTGGTAGGACAGTTCCAATAATTAACACATTGCATACTGCCATTCTGCAATGTTTTAGAAATTAGATTTCTGTAGTGTTGACTAAATCTTCCATAAAGTAGAGGAGTTTTGTTTTCACTAAGTTGTCCATTGCTTAGCAAATAATAAAGCCAATGACTGTAAAGGAAAGTAGAAATAAAGTAGTAGAAATAAAGAAGTAGAAATAAAGAAAATGAGAGCTGTATATTACTAGCAGATTTCTAGTCTGGTAATTGAATTAAAATCATTAATCTCAAAGGGTTTAAATTTTTGTATAAATGTATTGGTAGGAGGTAGGATTATGTGTAAGAAAAAAATAGCACTATCCTTTGTATCATCTTGCTGTAAGCAGACCAGGTATACATGATGATCATGAGGATGATGATGATGGTGATTAACTTTTTGTATTTTTGTCTTTTTGAGATAGGTTTTTCACTATGCAGTTCAGGCTGGCCTTGAGCTTACTTTGTAGCCCAGGCTGGGCTTGAACTGGCAATGATCCTTCTGCCTGAGCATCCTGAGTACTGGGATTACAGGCATGTACCACCATGTCCAGCTGGTATACTTGATTGTGTCTCTTGGATAAAAGCCAGAATTCATATTCACCTCCTCTTCCCCCTTCCTCATCTCCTTCCCCCTCCCCAGGTCTTTTTTTCATCTATCTATCTACCTACCTATCTAATACAGGGTCTACAGGGTCTCGCTACACAGATCAGACTAGTAATGATCCTCCTGTTTTCAGCCTTCCAAATGTTAGGATTACAAGTGCACGCCACCACGTCTGTCTGTCTGTCTGTCTTCCTTTCCTTTCCTTTCCTTTCCTTTCCTTTCCTTTCCTTTCCTTTCCTTTCCTTTTTCCCCCTTTCTTTCATTCTTTCTTTTTTGTGGTAGTGGAGATCAAACTCGGGACCTTGCACTTACCAGACAGGCACTTATGCCACTGAGCTCTATCCCTAGCCCTTTTTTTCTTTCTTTCTTTCTTTCTTTCTTTCTTTCTTTCTTTCTTTCTTTCTTTCTTTCTTTCTTTGTCTAGGGATTGAACTCTGAGGCTTCACACTGACCTATATCCCCAGACCTTTTTTAAAATACTTATTTTGAGACAGCGTCTTGCTAAATCACTAAGTTGGCCATTGTGGGCTCAAACTCATGATCCTCCTGCCTCAGCCTGCCAGATAGATTATAGTTTGTATCACCACCCTAGGCTCAGAATTCTTTCAAAGGAGTGTGTTTTTATCATTTTTTGAGATAAAAAATTTGCAATGCTGTTAAGAGATATTTGATAACTAAAGGTCATCTACAATGGCATTTATTCAGAAATTCCCTAAATCATAGAAGTGGAATTGAAGTTGGATGTGATGATACATATCTGTAATCCCACTGTTCTAGAGACTGAGATAGGAGGATTGCAAGTTGGAGGCTTCCTCAGATATGAGACCATATCTTTAAAGAGGGCAGTGTGTGATGTGGCTCAGTGGGAAGACCCTAAACTTTCTTTGTTTTTTTCTCTTTTAAGTCCTGGGGATTGAACACAGGGCCTTAGGCATAGTAGTATGTGAATGTTTTACCACTGAGCTACATCTTCAGTTTCTCTCTCTTTGAAAAAGACTTAATAAGCCAGGTAGGATGGCACATACCTATAATTCCAGCACTATGGATGTTGAGGCAGGAGGATTGCCAAGAATTCAAGGTTAACGTGGACTGTATAGTGAGACCCTGAGTCAACCAAACAAAAAAACAAACACCCCCCAGTCAAGGCAATCTTAGAAGAGATGAAGTACATTGTTTTCTGTGTTTTACTATGGTAACTTAGAAATTTATAATAAACCAGGTATGGTGATGCATGCTTGTAATCCAGCACTGAGGAATTTGAGGAAGGAGTACTGTGAATTGGAAACTAGCCTGGACTACATAGTAAGACCCTATCTCAAAAAGCAAAACAAAAACTCACAATAAACTTCAGTTAACAGATTTACTGTTTGAACCATTTTAAAGTATGCATTTCAATGGCATTAAGTAACTTTATGATATTGTGCAGCTAGTACCACTGTCTATTTCCAAAATATTTTCATAACCCCAAGGGAAATTCCAAACACACAAAGCAGACCCGTCTCATTTTCCCTTCCCCTCAGCCTCTGCTCTGCTGTCTCTTACGGATTTGCCTTTTTTGGCAAATTTATTTAATAAGTGGATATAAGTTGTAGATCATCTGTTATGTCCAAATTCTTTCACTTAGCATGTTTTTGCAATGTACCATGTTGAAACATATACCGGTATGTGACTGATTCCCTTTTACAGTTGAATAATATTCCATTGTATTGGTATGCCACATTTTGTTCATGCATGTATTTGGGGTGTTTCCATCTTTAAGCTCTTTTGAGTATTTTAAAAATATATTTATTTTTTTGGTGGAACTGGGGATTGAACTCAGGCCCTTGCACTTGCGAGACAAGTGCTTATT